AAAACTATTTAAAATGTTCCTTTATTTAAAATATTTACTGTACTAATCATATATTAAAATTTGGCACACAGATTATTTTTTAAGATTTCAGAATAAGGAAATGCTCATAACATAAATTTTTGTTTTGGAAAATTATCATAAATTATACACAAACAGAGCACAAATGCAATAAGAACTAAACCCTTGAGTAGTCCTGATTAAAATACCTTTGAAAATAACCTTCTGTGATTTATATACTTTCAATAATCCTTGTTTTTCTGCACTCTGTAAAGTTACTTCACAAGAATCTTTTGGAATGGGAAAGATTCTGGATTGCACCTGATGGAAAGTTTCAATGTAATCATTAGTTGATGTATATAAGATTATAATTTCTTGTACATTCCAACTTAAAAATAATTATTCAGCAATTAATAGTTTAAATTTTTCAAAATATAAAATTCATGATTTGGTCAGTTAATAATATCTTCATTTTTTTTCCTTTGCATGATTCCAGTTGCATAGCAGGAAGGAAATTATGAAATGTTCATTATTCCCATCCTCTTAATCTTGTTTTAAAATGGTTTACCTCTTTAAGATTGCATGCATTTGTCTTCCATGCATTCCATGTGTCTGTACTCAAGTAGGCTGCTATAATCATGTAGGCTACATATGTGGGAAGGTTGCTGTAGAAATCCTGCAAGCAGCCAGTTGTCTGTTATGGGAAAAACACAGATTTCCTGCTGATAGAGAAATGTCGTATTTTTTTACCATTTACAAAAGGTTAAAGAAAAGAATGTAATATTGAAAGTGAATAATTCTATCTTCACAGCAAGAGCAAAAAAACTTTGTATACTACAACCAAATGTGTATGTGCGTGCACACACACACTTGGTTGTTGTTTCTATATATCTCCAAAGGTGGCAATCCTATACACGTTTATTATGCAGTAATTTCCAGTAAACTAAAGGGGACTGACATTTATTTATTTGATTTCTACACTCCTGTAATTATAAGACTCTCAGCAAAACCTAAAAAAGAACATAAAGTATCCATGGCACAACAATAAAGCATCCACAGTATAAGCAATTTAGAAGTCAGACAAATCAAACATTCAGTCAAAAACTGGAGCAATATATAAAAATTCGTATGATGGCATCGTTTCATAATTAAAGTTAAAAGAAATTCATGCATCGAGAAGATCATCAGTTATCAGGTCCAACTTTCTGAAGGAAAGCTATCCTTTGATACAGAAGCCATAACAGAAATAGCACCTTCTCCTGCCATCATTCCCCTGATTTCACGGAGGTGGGGAATCGTGAGCAGCTTTTTTCCCTGAGATTTTCATATCAGACAGGTTGATTACAGGAAGCAGTCCTGAAGATACCCCAGGCCAAGACATATAAGGCTTTACAAGTTAAAATCAGTGCTTTGAAACCCTTCTGGCAGCTCTGCAGGACCCACAGTACAGATAGAGTGTGCTGTTGGCACCTAGTGCCAGTTAACAACTACTGCATTTTGAATCAACTTAGTGATCTTTAAATACAATCCCTGTAGTGCTCCTTGCAGTAATTCTAACAGGTGGTGATGATGATGTGAGTTACCATCAGGATATACTCTTGCTCAAGGTAGGCCTACAGCTGGTATACCAGATGAAACTGGATAAAGGTTTCCTAGCCATAACCTTCACTTACCAACCAACAGTAGCTATGAGTCCAGGAGAAGTATCAAACTGCAGACCTGCTCCTGAAAGCAGTACTGTTTCTTTGAGAGATCACAACAGAGCCAGCAGAAAACCTTGATGAGCAAATAGCAGCTCCATCTTGTTTGGGTTCAGTTTCACTTTCTTTCTTCCCATCCAGGCTGCCCACCTTACATTAGGGTGATAGTATAGAATCAGTTATCATCAGCATATTGATCATATTACATCTCAAACCAATATATGTCCTCTCCCAGTGACTTCATGTAAATGTTAAAAAGTAGGAGGGAAAGATCTGAATTCTCCATACTCTACAACTGAGAGGCCACCAGGTCAATTCCCTCTCTCTCAGTGGAGAGGAAAGGGCTGAGGAAAGAGCTGAGGGTCCAGAAGGATATTATGGTTGAGCAAACTGAAGGTGCAAAGAGGTCTTATAGGACCAGAAGGTGCAGTTCCCATTTAAATCCAATGAAGGTTATCAGCTAACACAGTTAACGTAGTTTCTGTCCCATGCCCGAACCTGAATGAAAGGGCTCCAAATAATCCACTTCCTCTAGATTACTTAGTAGTTGCCTTCTAATCACCACCTCAACAATCTTCCCTAAAAATACACAGTTGGAGACAGGACAATCATTGATATATCCAAATCCAGGGAGGGCCTCATAAGGTTCCTTCAAAGGAGGGAACACTTTCTCTTAAGGGCAGGCACTGACCGCCTCCAGGATTCAGTAATCCACAATCCTCCTCTATCTTCTACGAGAGCCAGGAGGAATTTGCCACCATAAACAAAGCAGCTGAACAGCAGAATAAGGAAGAGAAATATAGGCGTTTCACTTTTCTTACTGTCATGGGATAGCCTTGAACTTTAGCTCATACCTGTGTTTGGTCTGTTTTGCTTGTAGATTTCTTGGAAAACATGCATTGAATTAAATCTACTGACCCAAAGTAGACACTGTTTGCAAAAAAAATAAAAGTTCCCATAGGCATCATGAAAAATTTCATAAGCATGACATATAATAACTACTGGAGGTTAATAATGCAAAAGCAGACCACATGCGATTCCTTGTTTTTATATAACTAAACAGAAACTATTGAGGTTCCCAGATATACAGACATACAACTCCAACCTAACCCAACCAGCTGGCTAATTCTAGTGGGAATCTTAGTCCCAAATATATGCAGAGCATCAAGTTAAAAAAAAAAACAACTTTTGAAATAGAAGTAATCTTCTTTTCAAAAAGAACTTTCCTTATAGTCCCTTTCAAAAATAGAATGTCAGCTGATTTGAAGAGGTACTAGCGAGCTTTTTCATCTAATGTCTGGTTTATCAAAATCCAGCATTCTGTCTTAACAAGTTTCTGAATCCACAGCCTTAGTCGTGCTTGGGAATTATAATTACTAGATTCTATGTAGCTATGAGTAACATTTCATGCTCACTCATTCAAACTGTACAATTAACTCTTCCATCATTCAGAATTCAGTACCTCCTAGTTCTTTAGCATAAAGAATCTGGCATATTGTGATATTTGTCTCCAATTTGGTATAGTACATGCATATTCCAGACTATTAATAAGTTGTAAAGAATAACAAAAACATTTTACAGACTCTTAAACCCAGGATAAAATCTCTTGTTTTGCTACAGTTCAACAAGAATGGTACATGTGCACAATCAGTGTTAAATTCAACCTTTCCCTCAGGCTTCTTGCCCATTCATTGCCTGCCTGGATAAGAATAGCCTTTGCAGTTTTACACTCTTTCATTTGTGTGCCATTTCTAAATCAACCTGCTTTCCCAACCCTTCTACAGTAGCTTCTCATGTGAGGTCCTTTGCGATTTCTAAATTCATTGAGCAAAAGAGAGCTGTTTAACAAAGGCTGCTTCAGTTCCACAGAAGCATTTCCCACTGCATTAACTAAAACGAGAATGGCAGGTCTGGGAACAGAATGAGTCAGAAATCTCCACATATACATACACACTATTCTGTAATGACAATTAGAATAATAAGAACCTGTAATTTTTTATAATATTTTTTAAAGATTATTGGTTGATTTTCTTGCTATCAAATATGGGCTAATTGATAGTTGATAATTTTGAAAGTTTTGGTCAGAAATAAGGTGCCTTTTGAACAATGTAAAAATAAGAGCACTTTAAGTTTTTTGTGTGTCAATGAGTCTTTAAGTCGATTCCCAATCATTTTCAGGTGGTAATTTTTTCTTCAAAAAGTGCCCCATCTTTTTTTTTTTTAGATTTTTTTTATCCCACCTTTATTATTTTTATAAATAACTCAAGGCAGCAGACATACCTAATACTCCTTCCTCCTCCTATTTTCCCTACAACAACAACCCTGTGGGGCGTGTTGGGCTGAGAGAGAGTGACTGGCCCAAAGTCACCCAACTGGCTTTCATGCCTAAGGGAGGACTAGAACTCACCATGCAAACTACATTAGCATAAACAAAGGCCCTTAGTAAGGCATATGTGGCATCTTCAGAAATCCTTGGCTATCACAACATGCATGTCCACACAAGCCACTTTGCTTCATTGGTGGTCCTTATGGAAGTGATGTTTGCATGGCCTGGCAACTTGAGAAAGCTTTTGAAACAGGCACACAAGCCTTCTGCTTTAACACTTAGACAGATGCTTCATTCATGCCAATACTCTTTGCAAAGCACCACTTACACTTTGCACAACCAACGTGTTAACCAGAAAACATAACAGTAATAATGACAAAGTCACATTTCCTAATGCATGAAGTGGCCTTGAATCCTAGAGTAAAGCTAATGAAAAATGTGTGACATGGTTTAATTGATCTTCAGTAGGAACCTATAATCAATTTATTAAATGATATAGGTAGATTTAAATATTGTGGAGCTATAATGCTATTTATTTAAAGATACTGAAATTGAAAGAAAGTGATTTCTTTATCACTAATTATACTGATATGTTAGTAAAATGAGAAACAAACAAAGCATTATTTAAATCAGCATTAAAATTTGTTTTACTACTGGTAACAAGTACTTTTGTTATTATTTAGACAATGTATAATTACACATTTTTCATTTTGCGTTCCTTGTGTTTAAGAGGAGAGAGAGGAAAACATACATTCTTGGATACATTTTTTGAAGAAGTTTGAGATGTGAATGTAGTTGGCGCGCTTTTAAGAGAGGTCTCCAGGCTTATATATTAGTAAGCATGTGTTTTCAGTAAGCTAAGACACAAAATCCTGAATTAAACCATAATCAAATTTAGATCTATTGAGGAGGGGGGGAAATCCACATATGTATTTCAAACTCCAATCTATCTTTATGTTTTGCCTTTTCTATTGCAGGTAACAATAGTTGCAAGGGGATGACAGAGCGCATTCACAGCATCAACCTCCACAACTTCAGCAATTCTGTGCTCGAGACCCTCAACGAGCAACGCAACCGTGGCCACTTCTGTGATGTGACAGTCCGCATTCACGGGAGCATGCTGCGCGCCCACCGTTGTGTGTTGGCGGCTGGCAGCCCCTTCTTCCAAGATAAGCTGTTACTGGGCTACAGTGACATTGAAATTCCTTCTGTGGTGTCAGTCCAGTCAGTACAAAAGCTCATTGACTTCATGTACAGTGGAGTACTGCGGGTCTCACAATCAGAGGCCCTGCAAATCCTCACAGCAGCCAGTATCCTGCAGATAAAAACTGTGATTGATGAATGCACACGGATTGTCTCACAGAATGTGGGTGACATCTACCCACTGATTCAGGATTCTGCACAGGAGACACCCCGAGGAACTCCTGAATCAGCCACTTCAGGGCAGAGCAGTGATACCGAGTCTGGTTATCTGCAAAGTCATTCACAGCACAGCGTGGACAGGATCTACTCAGCTTTGTACGCATGTTCTATGCAGAATGGCAGTGGTGAGCGTTCATTCTACAGCGGAGCAGTGGTCAGCCACCATGAAACAGCACTAGGACTTTCTAGAGACCATCATATGGAAGATCCAAGCTGGATTACAAGGATCCATGAACGCTCACAGCAGATGGAGCGGTATCTTTCCACCACTCCAGAAACCACACACTGCCGGAAGCAACCACGTCCAGTTCGGATCCAAACCTTAGTGGGCAATATTCACATCAAGCAAGAGATGGAGGATGATTATGACTACTATGGACAGCAGAGAGTGCAAATTCTAGAGCGCAATGAGTCTGAAGAATGCACTGAGGATACTGATCAAGCAGAAGGCGCTGAAAGTGAGCCCAAGGGGGAAAGCTTTGATTCTGGAGTCAGTTCCTCTATTGGCACTGAACCTGATTCTGTGGAGCAGCAATTTATGACTGGCCTCGGTCGAGAAGGTCAACAAGAGCCTACCCAACCAGAACAAAATGATGTTTCTGCTGAAACCATTCAGCAGCAGCACATAGATACCAACTCTTCTTCACCAGAAAGAGGAAATGATGTTGAAAGGGACAGCGCACTAATAACTGTTTGTAACAGTACTGAAAAGGGGACTTTACAGCCTATCACTACAACTGTTGCCCAATCATTGCCAAGTACACAGCTCTACTTACGCCAGACAGAAACCCTCACCAGCAACCTGAGGATGCCATTGACCCTGACCAGCAACACACAGGTCATTGGCACAGCTGGCAATACCTATTTGCCTGCACTCTTTACTACACAGTCTGCTGGCAGTGGTCCTAAGCCTTTCCTTTTCAGCCTTCCCCAGCCCTTAGGCCAACAGACACAATTTGTAACAGTGTCCCAGCCTGGGCTTTCAACTTTTACTGCCCAACTGCCAGCCCCACAACCCCTGGCTCCGTCTGCAGGCCACAGCACAGCAGGTGGGCAGGGTGAAAAAAAGCCTTACGAGTGTACCCTCTGCAACAAGACTTTCACCGCCAAACAGAATTATGTCAAGCACATGTTTGTACATACAGGTAAGTATATGGCCACTTGACATATGTGTGAAGCTATGAACCCAGAGAGAAAAAGCATTTAAAATTATGTTGTTGATTTGGAGAGTTTTTCTCTACTGCTCTTTTAAGATGTTCATGTGATATTGAAAGCAATGACCAAAAAATGGACTCTCTCTGTTTCAGTGTTCTGTTCCACTGGAGGAATATAATGTTCTTTTGAAAATGTTGAGGGTTTTTTCCTAATATTTACTGTAATTTGATATGGTTCTAAATGGTTCCCTCTTATTCTGTTCTGTGATAGCTGATCTTCTTTGCTTTGAAATACTTTTGCACTTTCAATATATCCTCCCTAAATATATTTGCAAGGCTAAACATACTCATTACCTTTTGTCATCTAAGTAGTCTTGCTGTTTTTTGCTAATTTTTAGAAATGTTGGAAACCAGAACTGAATCAAATATTGTAATGGAGTCCTGGATGGGGTTAGAGGGACTGTAGAGAAGTGCATTGTTCTGGAGTTTGAATGTGATTCTCAAAATAACCTAAAATTATATTAACTTTCCACACGATAGTTTTATGTCACAGAGCAGTTATTTTTATTAACTCTTGACCTGACATTCTCTCAGCTGTACATATCCACCTAATTCTGCATTCCACTTTGAACTTGTGGTTTTTCTTTTACCACCCATCTAATCTTTGAAATTACTAAGATCATTTTGAATGTGCAATTTGTTCTGCTAGTGTTTAAAATCACTACCAATTATGTTTTGTATCATAAGCAAAATTTATATTTATAAACTCAATTTCTTTAATCTTCTGAGGCTACACTAGTGTTCCGTGAATTTTAATTGTTCCTAAATGACCTATCTGCCTTCTATAGTATATGCTGTCTACTGTTATCTCACTTTCTTCCCTTCTCCCCCTCCAATTCTTCCTTCACTCAGTAATCCATAAAAACATTTCTTGTGTAGACCATAGCAACTGTTCCTTCCTGCTCTGCAGAAAGTTCTCCCCTTTTATCATATGACAAAATGAATGAGAGGTAGTCAGGCAAGTTCTAAAGTTTGCTAGTATTATTGTGCATATTGTAAAAGAATCCAGGCAAGTTGCTCTGTACTTGCAGAGTTGGTGAGACAAATTAACTCATCTTTATTGATCAGAGCTAGAATTCCTAATTAAAGAACAAGGAAGGCAATGATTGATATCCACAACAGGTCATGCAGACACAAGACCCCTTCTACTCATCTGACCCAATAACACTATAGGGATTGAATCCAACTTGGAAGCTGATCCAGGTCAAGACACTCCTGCTACAGAGAAAACACATCAAAAGTAGTTTTGCAGCATTCCTTCTAAAACTGAAAGGCAAGGAGATTTTCCACTGATGAAATGCAGTTAAAGCCATTATTCCCACCCCACCCCATGATTTTTGCTTGCTCTGAGAGATGAGTTTGCTTCATCCCCTACATAGTGACCATTACTAGGCATGCATATACAACCCTAAGAAAGTTTTTTTATATAAAGCAGTATAGAATTGCAGTGTTAGATGAATGAGGTAAAAAGTCAGGGTATGGTACCATGAATGCATCACATTTTTTTTCCTTCTAAATTGAGTTCTTTGTTCAGTTTCTAAATAGAATTTTATGGTGAAATATTCTGAGCACCCAAAATGAAGGATTTTGTCTTTCAAAAAAATGGTTTCATCATGCAGTCTAAATAAAAATAAATAATGGAATATACTTTTTTTCAGGTTTTATGAAAAGAAGGTTTTTGGTGATAGAGCTTTGAAATAGTATCTGATAAATGGGCTCTAATTTATAGAAATTCAAGGTACCAAAAATAAAAATAGCATCTGGTGCCACAAAATTCTAGTTTCCTGCAAATCATGGTGGTCTTTCATAGGAAAGAAATTAGAATATTTGCTGTACAAAAGCAATGCCTTCCGTAGTATAAATGATGTAAACTAAATTTGCAGGAGAAAATAGATTTATCTTTAAAATCATAAAGGAAAAAAAAACGATGACATTAATACAGATTAGATGTTTGTAAACAATTATTCAGCACTGGATTCCTTCTCATTTCCTTGTTAGCTTCATAGCTGGCTATTTCTAAAGCTAGATAGAAAATCCTGATCTTAGAAAGGACCCAAAAGGCGAGTGGACTAGAGGGGGAATAGACAAGGCATCTGAAGAACCCTTAACAGTCTGAGATTTCTTTCACCTCCACAGTCCACCGACAGTCCATAGAAACATTTCATAAAATGATAGAATGTGAACATTAGAAAAGTCAGTGGAAATCATCCTGTCTTGCCCAGAACAAGAATCTACTACTGTAGGATGTGTTTAAATACCTCCAGTAATGGGGAGTTAGTTCCATTGTTGAACAGGTCTTACCACTAAGAAATTTTTCCTAGTGTCCAATTAAAATCTTCCTCCTTGTAATTTAAATCCATTGCTCGTGCCTTCTAGAACAAAAAAGAACAAGTCTACCCTATCTTCTACCTTTCATTGATCTTTTAATGCTATTTGTTTGAATTTGTACTTTTTATTAGTTTGTATAATAAAATTAATAATAAGTTAATATTATAATATTTCTAATTTTCTATATAATAAAAACACATGCAGGTAGTCCTTGAGTTATGACTGAAATTGGGACTGGGATTTCCATCACTAAGAGATGTGGTCATAAAGCATAACGTCTTGTGACCGTATCACTTAGCAACGGCAATCCAGGCAGTCCCGGTTGTCGTAACCCAAGACATGTGGGCTGTTATGCAGGAAGTGGAGGGAGTCCCAGTTAAGGAGAATGGGGGTGCCACAGAGGTTTAGGAGAAGCCCTGGGAGGCCCAGCCTTGTACAAGTCGGGGGAGGGGGTGCTTGGTGCAGCGTGAGCTCAGGCTGGGGAATGAGGGTGCAGGGTGCATGAGATCACAGGGGAAAGAGGGTATGGGGTGCATGTGTGCAAGCGCAGGGAAACCAAGAAAAGAGAGTGTAGGTGTGTGCAATTGCAGGGAGTCTGTGGAAAGAGAGTGCAGGGTGTGTGCAAGCAAAAGGGGGGAAGGAGGTGGTGGTGCATGCGATGAAGAAAGTCTGGGGAGACTTACCCCAGTGACTTGCAACCTTCCTTGCTGGCCTCCCATTGACTTTGCTTGGGGGAAGTCAGCAAGGAAGGACACAAATGGCGATCACGTGACTGCAGGATGCTGCAACTGGTTGGTAGTGCGAGTTGGTTGCCAGGCACCTGAATTTTGTTCATGTGACAGTGGGGGGGCTACAGGCCAGAACTTCAAGGACTGGTTGTAAGTCCCTTCATTCAACACTGTTGTAACTTTGAACAGTCACTGAAAGAATGATCATAACTCGAGGACTACTTGTATATAAATTTATAGGCAGTAGCAGTAGTTTCCTAGATTTATATTCCTATGTTTCTCAGTTTAAAAATGTAAAGAAGTCAAATGTTAATAAGTCAACCATTATCAGGGGAGTCCATCTCAAATCAGGATTCTTGTAATATAGTAATCTTACAGCATTGTTATCAAAAGTCTGGAGAAAAATAGCTTCCTTAGCTCTTTTAGTTGAAAAAATAAAATCCTCAGTCTGCTAAAAGTAAATCAAGACTAAATTCATTATCAAACCCCACTTAATTCTTTTACTGACAGTAATATGTATATGTTTATTAAGCTAGAATTAGTATTCTAAATGGAAATTAATATTTAAATTGTGAAATTGTTGCAATTACTGCTACCAAAGTTTTACACAAAAAGTATATTTATTGCCATGCTGATCATCAGTAATACCTTTTAATATTGGCAGATGCCTTTATTTTTATCCATTGAGCTAAATAAATGATACAGCTGAGAGTGATTCAGAGTTGTTCAATTCTACTGGATCAACAGAAGTTTGCTTTTTAATAGAAGTAACATTCCTGATGGTTGTATACAATACTCTTCCCTCCCATCCCACACCCAAAAAAGAAGTAGTGATAATTTCATGCATCTATTTTGTTTGGTTAATTTGCTCAGCCAAAAAGGTCAAAGCTGTCCCCCCCCCCCCCCCCCC